CCACTTCAATTCACCCCATCCCATCCCACTGAAGCCCCTCGTGTCTCATTTCATCCCATCCCATCTCAATGAATTCTCTCGTGTCCCATCCCATCCCACCGAATTCCCTCCTGTCCCAGCCCAGCCCAGCCTAGCCCAGCCCAGCCCAGCCCAGCCCAGCCAACGATCCCCAGGTGGACACTGAACACCTTTCCCCATGGATGGGACGTGCATCACACATCTGGACACACATCCCACCTGTGGGACACCGTTCCCAGCCATCCCTCAGGCTGCGGCAGCAGAGGGATCTTTGGGGATTTCTCAGGCTTCCTAGAGGGACAGAAAATTCCTTCCCAGAACTTTTCCTCTGGGCACAGGAGTGACCTTGGACTGGGCAGTCACTTGTTTGTTCAGTGCCAATGAAATGGGAGGATAAAGAGCACCAGGGCACCTTGGAGGATCTTATTGTACAAGGACAAACTCTAATGAACCAGGTCCAGCTGTCTGGACCTCTTCCCCCTCCCCATTTCCATACAGGTTCCTCCCTGGCAGTCTCCAAGCCTGGATCTGTGCAACACAGGCTGTGCCTGGGGCTCCTGGGAGTCTCCCTTCCAGCTCTGCCGTGGTCCTGTCCCACTCCAAGGCGAGGGGACATGGTCCCCACAGGCCCCTTATTTACTCTGGGCCTTTTGCCAAGCACTGGTCTGCTCCAAACACACATTCCCTCTGCTCCTGCCGAGGAAGAGATGGATGGGATGGGCTTTTTCTAGTGCTGCTTGACCCCAGGCACTTGCCATCCGGGGCTCATAGCCCAGCTGTCCCCTTCCCCTTGCTCCATCTAGGACAATTCCAGCATCCTTCGCTGCTTTCTGATTGTCTCAGCCACTTTCCCTTGTTGTTCTTGTTAAAGGTAGATCTCAATAAGTAGTTCACTAACTCAGCCATTTGAGAATCATCATTAATTTAATATCCTTCCTCATTTATTAATGGGCCTACTTTGTCTTGACTCTCCAGTATTTCCTTTTCCCCTTGATATATTTGTAAAAGCCCTTCCTATTCCCCTTAGCCTCATGGCTACCACTAATGTTTGCTTTTCCTGCTGTCTTTAACATTTCTCTTCAACCTGAAATGACTTGGGCTCCTCTGGCTTCTATCAGCTTCCATGCAGAGCTTTTCTATTCCCCAGCAGAGCTGTCCTGCCTGGATCCAGAGAGAGCTCCAGGACTTGTTCTTGTCCTGGTAGAGGGTCCTGATGGAGTCAGCAGGACGGGATATCCTCCCATTGCACTGTGAGAGAGACCAGAGAGACCATCTGGACAGGAATAAAGCAGGGAAAGGTGATGGATGTCAGAGGGGGGGTCAGAGATGCACCTCGTGGTCACTGCTGGACCCACAGCACAGTGTGAGCCCGGCTGAGGTTTTGGCAGCATTGCCGTGGGTCTGGCTGGCCCTTGCCATGATTCCTGCATCCAGCACCCATCCCTATGGGCTGTGTTCTCCGGGTCCTGGCCTGACCCAGCCAGGGAGAATGGCAGGGAAGTCCAGTCCTCATCACCCCACTGCTTCCCAGCTCCTGCCTCAGCAGCTGCTGGAGAGGGGGAGATCCAGGATCCCAGGATGTGGAGGTTCAGGGTCTAATGATGGGGAGGTCCAGGATCCAACGCTGGGGAGATCCAGAATCCATTGGTGGGGAGGTCCAGGATCCAATGCTGGGCAAGAGGGACCTGAAGACTTTTTCAAGCCCCGCAGGATGAAAAGGTGTGGAAGCAAAGGGAGCAGGAAAAAAGTTGCGGGCAGGGAAGGAGTTGCAGAGCAGGTGGGAGCCCAGAGCACATCCTGAGCAGAGGGTCGGCTCTATGCTGTTGCCAGGGTGATGGGAAGCAGAGGGCTGGGGATGTGTCTGTTTACATAAGAATTGTTGATTAATGAACATCCAGGCAAGATAATTTACCGAGGGCCTGGAGGCACCGGCGTTATCTCTCCATCTCCCGGCGTTATCTCTCCATCTCCCGGTGCAGTTTAGGATGTGGCTGCAGAGCCTTCCTGCTGCCTGTCCTGACAAAGCCAGGTCCGAGGCCGCACAGGGACCCCAATCCGTTGGAGAAGAGAGCCCCCACCTGATGGACTTGACCCATCTGGAGCCACACCGAGGTGTCCAGGCAGCAATGGGATGCTGTGAGAAGCAATGCATCCCAAAATCCCCCCACAGGCTTCCCCACCTGCCACCGGTGCTGATGCTCTGCCCTGGTTTTGGGTGTATTGGGGAGTCCAAGCATCTCCGAGATGTCCTGCATGTTGAGTCTTCCAGGTAGGAAGCCAGGGCAAGCCCTGTTTCCCCTCACCCTTTCAGGGCATCATCATCACCCCTGGCTCTGCCAGGCGATGGTCTGTGTCCTACCCACCGCCCTCTCCCTCTGGATCTCCCCAGGGATTGATCCCACAGCTCTGCTCACCTGGGCTGCTGACTCTGGTGGCCACACCACTGGTGTCCCCCAGGTCACACCAGCAGACACAGCCCATGGGGTCAGGATTCCCACAGAGCTCTGGTTTGTTGGCATCCCCCAGGTGATTCCTGCACTCCCACCTCCATGACCACGTGTGGGGACAACGTGTGTGGGGTCGCAGATGGCAAGGAAGCCCCCAGGTCCCCTCTCTGGGCTGGAGGGAGGGCAGGTGGGCTGGCTACAAAGATCCTCATGTCCACAATAACCTCTTCCAAAGTTGCCAGACTCCATGTGGGGGAAGACTATGGAACCAGCAGCTTCCAAGGCCATGGAGAGGCTGAGAAGTGTCCCTAAAAGCTGCAACCTGGTAAGACAGTGCCACTACTTCACACAGAGCAGCACGTGCTGGTTTGTGCCCCCTCCCCAGGATCCCTTCACTGGCCATGGCAGGCAGTGGGGAGGGAGAAGGTGGTGGTCCCTGGAATTCTCCACCTGCCCTGCCCTCCCTGCCTGTAGCTCCAGGCAGGCACTTAATCCCCATTTCCACCACTTCATCCCCGTGGGGTCCCCATGGCATGGGCGAGATTTGCAGCACCTACCCCAGGTACATCACGTCTCACAGCACAGAGGTGAGTCTGCAGGAGTCAGCAGTCACCCAGCACCCAGGCTGGCACCATGGGCACCTGGTGCCCTGGAATCCTCCCTGGATGCAAGTCCTGAAGTCACAGACGCAGCCCCTGTCGTGGAACAGACCTGGCAGCACAAAGCTGGTGGCCGAGGGGCAGCTGCCCACACCCGGGTGAAGGGTGAGGATTTGGCACAGGCTTGGGACATGTGCAGTTGGCACAGGAGGGCAGCACGTCAGGACATCAGGGGTGGCACGTTGTAGGCATTGCCAGTCCCCAAATTTCTCTACACCAAGTCTCACCCCCAGCTCATCAAACCCCGGCGCCTCATATTTCATCCCTCCCAGAGCTGAAACACCCCTTGAAACCTGAAAAAATCCTGTGTGTTCCCAAACAGGAACCAGGGACTGGAGCAGGGGGTGGGCAGAGGAAGAGAGGGAACACCGGAGAGTGGAGAGAAGCACTGGGAAGGCGGGATGGTGCGGTGGGAAGGGAGGCAGGAGGCAGCTGGTGGGTACCAGGAGCCCAGTGCCCAGCCCGGGGTGCAGCTCTGGGGTGGTTTCCATGGCACTTCCCAGCTGCTGCTCCCTCTGCCTGCTCCGAAGGCTGTGATTAAGTGCAGGCAGACCCACAATTACCAGGGGGCCGCTGCTGGTGGGCTCTGCAGGGGGTTGGGGCCCTACCCCTGCACCTGCCTGTGCACAGCGAGCCCAGAGCAACGGGAGCTGCTGCAGGGCTGCCCCTGGGCACAGCACAGAGCAGAGTCCCCATGTCCCCTGGCAGGGAAGGGATAAGCATCTCTCCACAGCCCCAGGCAGGGCAGGGATCCATGTCCCCAAACCCTTAGGCAGGGCAGGGATGAGTGCTCCCATGGCCCCAGGAAGGATAGGGATCAATATCCCCTCCCTGTTGCCATGAGGCAGGGCAGGGATGAGTGCTCCCATGGCCCCAGGCAGGGCAGGGATCAATATTCCCATTTCTACAAGTCAGAGATCCATGTCCCCATGTCCCTGGACAAGGCAGGTATCAGTGCTCCCATGTCCCAAGGCAGGGGAAGGATCCGTGTCACCATGTCCCAAGGCAGGGTAGGGATCATGTCCCACATGCCCCAGGTAGGGCAGGGATCAGTGTCCCCAGGAAGGACAGGGATCAATGTCCCTATTTCCAGTAGGGAATACAGGGATCAATGTCCCTATTTCCAGTAGGGAATACAGGGATCAGTGTCCCTATTTCCAATAGGGAATACAGGGATCAATGTCCCTATTTCCAATAGAGAATACAGGGATCAGTGTCCCTATTTTCAATAGGGAATACAGGGATCAATGTCCCTATTTCCAGTAGGGAATACAGGGATCAGTGTCCCTATTTCCAATAGGGAATACAGGGATCAGTGCCCCCATATTCCCAGGAAGGACAAGGATCAATATCCCCACTGCCATGAGGCAGGGCAGGGATCCGTGTCCCCACATCCCCAGGCAGGACAGGGATCAGTGTCCCCAGGCACACCCAGGCCATGCAGAGACCTGTGGCAGAGCCAGGAGGAGACGAGGGGTCCATCCCCTCAGAGACCCCTCCTTGCTCCATCCCCACAGCCCCTCATGCCCCCCATAGCCCCTCATGCCCCCTCCCTGTGGGGTGACCCCCTCTGCCCCCCCCGGCAGGATCCAGGTCCCCGCGGGGGGGGCACAGTGGGGTGGCCTCCTGCACAACTGGAGCAGAGGAAATGCTGGAACTTTGAACACGTCCGGAAATAATGACTTTAAAAATGTATCATTCTGCAAACTCATTAAGGCGCATCCCCGGCAGCAGGGGAAGGGAATTGCCGGGCCTGGGAGCCGCTTGATCTTTACAAAATGTGCACAGCGAGTGCTCCTGAATATTTAACCCCGATGGCTCCCCGGGCGCTGGGGAGGCTGTGGGGGGTGTGGAGGCAATCCTGGAAAAGGGGATGTGAGGACCTTGGCAGCCCGGGAGGCCCCTTGTCTGTGCCCTCCTCCCCAGGTGGGCACCCAAACACAGGTAATTATGCTGGGCTGGCAGGATTGGTGCTGATCCAGAGACAGGATGGCTCCCAAGAGTGGGTGGCACGTCAGCTTGGGATGGGATATCCCTCCCAAACTTATTTCTGTCTTGTTTTGGCAGCGTTGGGATGGGAGTGGGCCCTGGGATGCTGTTCCATCCCTGGGTCTGCTGGGAGCCAGGGTTCTGCCAGGTCCACCTTGGGGACAGGAGGGAGTCCCCGGGTCCCTGAGGAACTAGAGGCACCAGTGGCACTGCCACCCATCCAGGGATGCTGCTTTGGGTCATCTTTAATTCCCAGCTCCCAGTCAGCTGGGAGCACAGGGCTGGGGCTTGGTTCTGCCTGTGGCTGTCCTTGTCCCACAGCACTCTGTGATGCCACATCCCGTGGTGCCCCACGGTGCTCCGTTCCACGGCAACCCCTGGTGCTCCACGGTCCCACAGGATGCCCCACATGCTGCCCCACATCCCGGGGCGCCCTGCAGAGCCGAATCCCACTGCCTGGCACGTGCCAGCGCCCAGTCTCCCCGCAGCAGAGCTCAGCCACCCGCACCCACCGCGGAGGGCTCGTCCCCAGCGCCGCCACCATCCCATCGTGAAATTAATTCCGGAGAAGGGGCCGTAATTACCTTCCATCTCCCCCTTCATAAATATGTAGAAATAGCAGCAGCGCTGTGCCGAGCCCACCACCACTCGGCGGTGACCTTTCCGAAACAATATGTGCTGCGAGGCAGCACCGGCGCGCCAGGCAGGCGTTGCCATGGCAAAGCGGGAGCGCAGCAAACACACCGCAATTACAGGGGGAGCGGCTCCCTGGCAGCCCCGCGATGCCCGCGGAGCCGAGTGCGGGCAGCTCTCCGCGGGGCCCTTTGTCCCCGGGGTGTCACCTGCCTCGTGCCACCCGCGGAGGAGGTGGGTGCCGAGCACGGCGGTGACACTGGATGAAGGACAACAGGATCCTCGTCCTGGCCGGATGGGTCACCTGCGGCCCCTCTCCTGCATCGCTCAGCTCCACCCCCAACCCGCCCGGCCCACGCTCCCAGCGTCTCCAGGAGCTGAGCCCCGTCCCCAGTTTCAGCTCGGGGCAGTTGTCATTCCTGGTCCCTTCTCC